ACCGATGGCGTCCATCGAGACGAATGTTTTCCTGGTCGGCCATGCCATCGCAAACGATATCAACCAACTCGAGTGAGTCGACGAGTCGACACGTACCTTGAGGATCTGCTGCCGGGATTCAAGTATCGGTCAAGGCGAGCCGGAACAAGGTCTAGTGTCGGGACCGGGACGCATGACGAACAAATGAACCCTGATCTACGCCTACGGACACTTACTACACGACTCAGCTACATACAACCATGATGAAGAAGGGTACGAGTCTCGGAGAGCAAATCGAATAAACATAGTCTCGACATGATGCAATTCTGCCTATTCTTCTCGCCCACTCGGGCTTGTATGTACAGTCTCGTTGTCAAGTGTCGACATCACCTGGCACAGTGATGATGGTGGTGCAAAAGTCAAGTTGTTGCTGGCCACGGGTTACCATAGATGGAAAAGTGGCGAACACAGAACGAGCACGGTGCACTGCTGCACTCCACATCCTCTCCCTCCCAACCGCAGTGTGAGCATGGCACCGGTCGTGACGATCTCGATGGCGCTTTACAGATCCGACAGAGACATTCCTGGTTATCGGATCCAAAGTAGCCCGATCCGTAGTGGACGGTGACCTCCTCGCCTAGTGTTATCTCCTTGATTGCGACAACATCGACATATCTTCGGGAACGGACGACCAGTTTCGCGTTCGGATCGCAGGCATGATTGACAAAGCGAGCAAGCGAGGTCATGAAGAATGTCTGCCCGAATCGCTCTGACTCCACAATACTCGATACCATATCAGCTTGGCGTTGCTGCTCTACTGCCTCTTCAGGTGCCTCCACCAACCTGCCCTCCAACCCCTTGATGGTCTGGCCAGGACAAAATGTTTGTCGAGCGCGCACCGCGAGGTCTGCATTGACGCCGTCAAATTGCCAAGTGTGGAGAATGTCAAAGGGGCATCGCCACCGAAAGATCGCAAGGTATGTTTGTAATTGTCGATTCACCTGGTCCTGCTCTTCGGTGGCAAGGCCCATTTGTAGCCGTCGAAACGTCTCGTCCCGAGAGAAGAGCTCGGTTGCCTCGCTCGAGCCCGATCGATTCAAAACCCGTAGATATGTGCGAATGGTGTTGATCCGTGGGAGTTCGTTGTCGGCTTCGGCAGGGGCACTGAGAAAGCGTCGAAGATTGTTGACATAGGCGGTCTGTATGTTTTGATCAGCAACGTTCCATTCGGCAGTGTGTAAGTCGGCGTTTGACCTTGGACAATACCAGCGTACTTAGGCAATCGTTAATTGCCAATACAGTGCGCCAGTCCATCGTGATAACATCAACACCTGTATGCTGAGACGTTTCGTAGTGAGGATGTGATCGGTTTACGCAGTCATGGTACTTTTCCAGCGAGGGTCTTGTCACACCAGTGCGATTTTGCAATCCAGTGAATGCCGAAATTAGGCCGCGCCCGCGCTCGTTTGCACTAGCCAGCCATACCTGTCGACCAAAATGGTGAACACGAAGAAAGCTAAGGGTGCTGATGACCAGGCCAAGGGCAACCTGACCGAGATGAAGGCCAAGGACAAGAAGACGCCGGGTAAGACCACGGACAAGGCCAAACCCAAGGGCAAGATCGAGGGCGCGAAATATCTGGAAGAGTTGAATGAAATCATGGATCAACAGACCACCCCGACCACGATGAGGTAATCTACTTTCGGTTGCCAACCAGATTGG